GCCATGGAGAAGGCACTTTGGACAGCTATTTGTAAGGCCCTGGAGGCTTTCTCTCTCAGCCTCTGGGCACCTCTGTTGAAAACCCTTCATAGCTGTCTGGCCTGCTGTAAAAACACTCTGACTCTTTTGCCCTGAAGATGTGTTCTGTTTATAACACATCTCTACTCCTTGGAAAACAACTTAATAAAAACTCAGTTGGTTTTCCACCAGCCATGGGCAGGGGTGAGGGATAACATGTTATTAATTTATAAAATAATACTACTAATGATAATAATGATAATAATGATAATAATGATAATAATGATAATAATAATAATAATAATAATAATAATAATAATAATAATAAAAGAAGTCTTAAAACGGCCCTGGGCACATAGGAGAGAGTCAATAAATGCTTCCTGGCTTAAATCAATAGTGATGGCTCAGTGATTCCATGGCTGCAGTATTTGCTGATCTAGTTACTCCTTTGCTCCATTACACTTTTTTTTAACTAAAAAAGAAACACATGCATATGGTTAAAAAAAATTTAAACAGAGCACAAAAATACACAAGTGAAAGAAGTTTTCCTTCATCCTCTGTTCTTTCAGCCCTCCCTGGAAATGCCAATGTTTACTATCCTTTGTGTGCTTTTCCAGATATGCTATGCACATTCCCACCTATGTATGTAAATTCCTTTAAAGTTTTACTTATTTTTAACTTAAAGGGATTTAAATCCTCAAGTTGCTTCTGCCGGGTAATAGAAAAGAACAAATCTGACTTCATATTAGATCAGTTCCTTTGACTTTAACCCTGTGCTCTGTCTCCTAGGCTTCATCTTGCTTGGAAAACAATGTTGCCTAGAGCCTGAAATATACAGGAGAGCATATTCTGAAGGCTCTGACCCTTAAGGATATTTAACGCTTTTCCATTCATAAAAAGATAACAAGTTGCAGAATAGAAAATAACGTTTGTTTTGTTGGATGTTTACACTGATTTGACCCAGGCAGATAGCTGCAAGAACAAAGGATTCTAACAACAAGGAATTCCTACACCAAGAAGTTTGCAACAACCAAGCACGTAGGAAAGGAGCCTGAATTCTGACTGGGGAGATGGTTTTCCAGGACATTAGTTTGCCATGTAGGTCTACAGAAACTTACTATTCCACACCCCAACACCTGGTCTGCCAACTTATTGGCCTGTCTTGCACTGAGGAGAATGGATTTGGACTCGGTAACACTCCTATGTACCTAGCAAACTGGGCACTGGAACTGAGTGTTACAGGAACAACAGGCCAGCCAAGAAAC